CAGAATGTATACTCACTAACCATATCTGCTACGCTATAAAGTTTCATTAATCTACTCGCCGTAGTTTAGTTGTACGAAATAATTGAAAAGTGGCCTGAAAATGATGATTTTTTGGCTTTTTTTGGCCTTAAAATTTCAATTTTTTTTCTACGTGCTGAAAATGGTTCGATTGATCTAAAATTGTGGCAGTGGGGTTTGGAGGGGTTACCCATCATACACATAAAATGGTGAAAATCGGTCACCCACCATGTGCCGGTCCCTGCATGGTTCTCTCGCAAACGCATTCTTAACTTTGACCTCTAGACAGTCCACAAGCATTTGTGGACACCGGACCAGTTTTGCCCCGTGTATCCAGTTCCGGTCTGAATTTTTTTTTAATCAACAGTCTGTGGGTGACAGTTTTAGTAACGCCTAGCTCTATATTACTTGGAACAAAATTACCCTTTTCAGTTTCCGTCCAGACTCATGGATTGAGTTTATGGCCATGACCACGAGAGGGACTGTTGGCTGTTCAGCATTTATGTGGCTGTCCTGTCTTGCCTGCCCACATCCTATATACATTAACATGTATGTGCCGATACACCTCGGTGCAGTGCATAACATGTGGCCTAGCTTGCCACATTCATCTAATGGAAATCCATTATTGAGAAGTCAGAATCTACTCCATCATTGTCTGAAGAATCCCTGTTTTCTTGACAAAACATCATCAATAAAATAAAACCAAGTACGAACAATCCAAACCATAAGACAGAATTCGAAGTCCTAAAAAACGTTATAGGCAAAATAGTGTATTCAAGCAAAATAGTGTAATCAGCAAATGTTTTTCATAGAATATAATCTAAATTTCCAATTGAATATTAATATGTATCTTGTTTTACCTGCAGTGTGCAATATGCATATTTTTCTTGACCACATTGTGATTTTTAACAAAATTTTGACTTTTCATGACTATTTGAGAAAATCTTTAGAACTCGGTTATTTTTCAATATATTTTCACCAAATCTAACTAAAATATACACAATATTGGTGCCTTCATGTTCGATACAACAAAATATCACATCTGTTTCATGATTATGTTAAATACTTCGGGAAAATTAGATTAGAGTGCGTAAATTCTGAAAATCCAAGATGGCTGCCAGGTCACATGACCAGAGCATGTAATATTATTTTGCAAATGTGGTCCCATTATCTCCACCAGAATGTTTTTCATAGAATATAATACTAAAATTCCCTTTGATTATTAATAATATATCACTTATTACCTGTGGTGTGCAATATGCAAATTTTTCTTGACCACATTGTGATTTTTAATAAAATTTGACTTTTCGTGTCTGTTTAGGAAAATCTTTATAACTCAGTTATTTTTCAATATATTTTCACCAAATTTGGCTAAAATATAGACAATATTGGTCTCTTCATATTCTATACAACCAAATATCACATCTGTCACATGAGTAACTAAATTCTGAAAATTCAAGATGGCCGCCAGGTCACGTGACCTGATTACGTAATATTTTTTTTGTAAATTATGTCCGTTTTTTTCTGCAACAATGTTTTTTCATGGAATTTGATCCACAAATACCCTTTGATTAAAAATATACAGCTTGTTTTACATGTGGAATGCAATAGCATTATACCGTACCACAAGCTTCGCACTGAAAGGGTTAACCCTTATGTGCCCTCTATGGTCTGAAATGCCCAAATATCAAAAGGGACTGAGATCTTTGGGATATAAAGATATGTTTTAAGTTTCATCATAATTGGATAAAAATTGTGACCTCTAGAGGGTCCACAACCTCCGTAGCATACTTTTACACAATTTGCTTACAAATTGCGGCCATTTTGTCGGGCAGTTTCATTTCGATTTTCCTGAATTTCAAATTCAACCTTCGTAATGGTGGAATGGTGATATATTTAAATGGTTTTTAAAATCGGAAAAAAAAATTGTGACCTCTACAGAATCTGAATGCTAAAAACGCAATTTTTCAAACAATCAGGAGCCATAACCCAGGAAGTTACATTCTGATATACGCGATTATCAAAAGGAACCAGATCTTAGTGTGTAATGGTGATATATTCACAAGTTTTTTTTAAATCATATAAAAATTGTGACCTCTACATGGACCGCAAGCTAAAAACGTGATTTTTTGTACATTCAAGGGCCATAATTCAAGAAGATACAATCTGATACGCGGAAATATTGAAAACAACCAAGATCTTTGGGTCATAAACATATATTTCAACTTTCATCAAAATCGGATCAAAATTGTGACCTCTAGAGGGTCCAGAACCTTGGTTTACCAGATGTTTACACTATTTGCGTACGTAGGGCAGTCATTTTCTCCAGCAGTTTTGGCCCGATTTTCATGAAATTCGAAGTCAACAAACATTACTGTGTAACGGTGATATATTCAAATGTTTTTTTAAATTGAATAATAATTGTGACCTCTGAAGTTTCGATCAGATACATGTCAATATCAAAAGGAACGAGATCTTTTGGAGATAAACCTATATTTCAAATTTCATCAATATTGGATAAGAATTGTGACCTGTAGAGTGTTCACAAACAAATAGTGAACGGACGGTCGGACAGGGGCGACAACAATATACGTCCACATGAAAATGTGGGTGTATAAAAAGAGCGGCCATTTGGTCTAGTAGTTTTGGTCAGAGTTTTACGAACAAGTGCAATTTTTCGAACAAAAAGGGGCCATAATCCAGGAAGTTACGTTCGGATGTGCGCAATTATCGAAAGGAACCAAGATTTTTGGGATATAACTATGCCAACAGTGAGGCTGATGTTCAGGAAGTTACGATCCAATATGCCCGAATATTGAAAAGAACCACAGCAGCTAAATCGTCTGAGCGGTCGACAAGGTTTGTCGCATATTTATTCCTTTGAAGGTAATTGGGGGCCTTTACAAAGACAGTTCCATACAGATCAGATTATAAATTTTGTCGTTTGAGGGTTTACAAGGTTCTACAAACTGAAACAAGGGTCTCAACTCTGGAAGTAATCTACTGAAATTGTTGAAATTCAAAAGGCTTTTTCGTTTTACTAATTCAAATAATGCATATAAATTTTTATACAGATCGGATGATAACTTTTGTCGTTCAAACGTTCACAAGGAACAACAAAGTGAAACAAGGGCCATAACTTACGGCGTAATTAACGGAAATTGCTGAAATTCAATTGGCTTCTTAGTTTCACTAATTTAAATGATGCATATCATTGGTGAAGTGTCAGAAGGGTGTATCTAAGAATTTCTAAAGATTAAGAAATAGAACCTTTTGCATTTCAAAATTTCCACAAATCAAGATACAACATTTGGACACATGATACCCAGAACAGTTCTAATTGGCGTAGAGACACACAGCTTAGACAGATATGTGCATATTAATTGGGAGAATTTAAAAATGTGTATTTGAATAATTTCCCGAGATACACCCTTTTGATACTTCACTGACGATATCAATTTCAAACAGATCGGATGATAACTGTTGTTATTAAAGTGTTCACAAGGATCAATAAAGTGAAACAAGGGCCATAAATCTAGACGTAATAAACGGAAATTGTTGAAATTCAATAGGCTTCTTCGTTTCACTAACTTAAATATTGCATATAATAAAAATTGGACCAAAATTGTGATCTCTAGAGGGTCCACAACCCTGATACACCATATGTTTACACTATTTGCTTTAGAGGGGCGGCCATTTTTGGTCTGATTTTTACGAAATTCGAACTCAACAGATGATATATTTAAATGGTTTTTTTTAGATCGGATAATAATTGTGACCTCTAGAGGGACCACAAGCCAAAAATGTGATTTTTCGTAAGTTACTATCCGATATGCGCGAATATCGAAAGGAACCAAGATCTTTAGGTTATAAACATGTATTTCAAGTTCCATCAATATCAGATGAAAATTGTGACCTCTAGAGTCCACAAGCTAAAAACATGATTTTCCGTACAATCAGGGGCCATAATCCATGCAGTTACGGTCCAATACTTGCCAATGTTGAAAAGAACCAAGATCTTTGGGAGATAGAACAGTAGTTCAAATTTCGGCAAAATCCGACCTGTAGAGTTGTCCACAAACAAATGTGAACGGACACACGGACAGGGGCAACTACAATATATGAGAAAATAAGTCCACATGAAAATGTGGGCGTATAAAAATTATAGCCTCTTTTGTGTTCACTAGGAAATCACAGATCGCTGAAGGGGTTTATCCTTTCAAGACCATAATGCTTCACACCAAATTTGAAAACAATCGGTCAAAAACTTTAGCCCCTATCGTGTTCACAAGCCAATAGTTCACAGACGCACCGACTGACAGGCAGGGTGATGACTATATACGCCAAAACTATGCAAGCCCCTATAAAAATATCCTATTGCTGACAAATGTTGGTTGTTTACCTGTACAAAAGATTATAGAGAAATGGGTTTAACATCCACTCGACATAAACTAAGTCACTTTAGGACTAACACATGGTTCAATTTTATTTTAATAATTAGCTTGCGTGTAGGGGTCTTTAGTAGTCAAAGCCACTTACAATGCCCCCCCCCAACCAAAAAAAAAGATTAAAACAAATGAATAATTATATATGCAATCTGATTGAAATATGGATCTATATTTCTTTTCGTTTTTCTATACTTCGATGGCATCTACTACATAAAAGATCTGACCAGTTGTAGTGGGAGGTCGCGTCAGAATCATATGAGCGGCTTTTGACCCTATGATGTCAAACATTTGATTAACCAATCACCGTTGATGTTTCTAGTAGGATACCCACAGTTTCGTGCATCGCACACCACAAACTCACTGCAACAGACCATATCATTGGATAATCCCTCACATCAAGCAGAACGCAGGTAATATAACAACTTTTCCAGGTCTTAGTGTAGTGAAGACAAGTAAATGAAATTTTAAATTATAAAAAACAAAATGAAATAGGATCTGTGTTTTAATCAGATTGAATTATATAGTAAAACTAACCGTGTGCAACAACTTTATCTACTGGCATGTCAAGTTCTTGAGCTAGATAACCAACAATAGAGAATATAACAAAACCAGCAAATATACTTGTACTTATATTACTTATCGAAACAATCAGAGCATCTCTGAAAAATACAAAATTACAAACAAATAAATATATAATACTGAAAAATTTAAAGAGTACATCAAATGACGAAACAAAATTGTACGTATTTAAGCTAGAGTTTACTACACTTTACAACCATTTCCTACCAATCTGATTGAAATTATTTTAAATATTGTTGTTCATTATGGCGGGATTCAAGGACCAAAACTAAATGTATGTTGAAAGCGTTATCATACATCATAGAAAACACCCAATACCAAAGATGCAATATACAAGTGTCATTACAAAATTACACAATGCCGTTAATGTTTAGGTCGTTACAAACAACACAACTTATTGATATACATTTCAACAAAGCAACTTTGCCAATTGACATTTGTCTTTTAACACATCATGAGTTCTTGGGGTAAAAGATCATTGGCTTACATGTACAATAGTAAATAAGATAACTCTTGATGACATTGAGAAAGTAAAACAGACAGCAATTAGACCAGAGGCTCAGCGCGAAGGGGGGTGGGGGAGGGGGGAGGGGGAGGAGGCAAGGGGGAGGGGAGATCCATCAAATGGGCACAAAACCAGACCCTACTTTTCTAGAGTAAAATTTTGCATAGAATACGATGCTGAGTGGTAATCAGTCCGCCGTTGGGGCGTTTTCGAGATATTCGGGGTGAAAGGTCCATCCACAAGATTTTTCAAAGTGATCAAGGGCTATAACTATGGCAGTAATTATTGGAAATCGCTGAAAATCAATAGGCTTCTTCGTCTTATGACCTTAAACACTGTGTATAAATTTAAAGTCAATCGGATATTAACTTTAGCCTCTAGAGCGTCCACAAGATTTTTCAAAGTGATCAAGGGCCATAACTCTGGCAGTAATTATCGGAAATCGCTGAAAATCAATAGGCTTCTTCGTCTCATGACCTTAAACACTGTGTATAAATTTAAAGTCAATCAGATATTAACTTTAGCCCCTAGAGCGTCCACAAGCAATTGTGGACGCCAGACTGCCGGACGGACGGGGGCGACGACAATATACGCCACATTTCAATGTGGGCGTATAAAAAGTAGTCTAAACCTAAATGCTCTAAAAACAATCAAGAAACGTTTCAGTATTCAATACATATAGGGCACATGTTCCATCCGTCACAAAAAACAAAAACAAAACTGAATATAAAGAAGCAAATAGGAAATGTAGACTGTCTCAAGAGACAGCCGTCTGCTGACTGAGTGGCGACATTATTTTGGGAATGACGTCAAATCTTAGAAGGTGATAAAAAATCACAATAATAAGGGCGATAATCCAGATAAAATAATGTTAAAAGCTTAAAAACTATAAGTTTTTAAATTATGTAATTGTACAATTTATAATATATTAATATAATACCCCACACAAGAAATGCAAAACAGGTATGCTGAAGAAATCGTACTACGTAAGTGTATTTATAAAGGCATAAAGGCATAAGGGAAGTAATTCAGACAGGGTTAGGTAACTACAGAAAATCTAAATTAAAATTTAGATTGGATCATTATCCAGTATGTAGTCGGTATACTTATAAGAAATGTCAAACTTGGTATGTTGAAGAAATGGAAGTTTTGAAATTTCTTTTAAAATGTGTAATTGTGTACCGCCTTTGGCAGTGCATTTAAAGTGAAGAGCTTTTATTCGGGAGAGAAATAGTTCTTTATTGTTACATATTGTCAAAAATCGTAATGCCTGTGAATAGAAAACACTATATAGCGTGGTATCTGGTATGTTACTATAGATTGACGGGTATTTTACTACTTCAAAACCCAATTTGTCTGTTTTGTCGAAAATACCGACATTAAATTAAATTGATTGTTAATTATATTGATGTCCAGGTCAAGAACAGATGCATTTATAGTGCCAGAATTTTCTTTATTTAATATTAGTTCAGGAGGATATATTTCACTTCTATATTTGTTGAAATTTCCGTTATCATTGATAGGTGTTATGTCATCAGTGTATCGGAAGGTATAGTTTAGACTTTTAGCTACTTTGTAATCTGTTTTTCTTTTATGGTCTTGAAAGTCGAATTCGTATTTATATAAATGTGCATTTGCCATAAATGGGGCGGGGTCAGTTCCCATTGGTAAGACAATGGTTTGCTGTATTATCTGATCCCCAACCTCAAATATGGCATTGTCAATGAGGAAATGTATGATGTTTTGAAATTTTTCTTTATCAAAAACTACAGTGTCGGCATTGCGACGTTTTATAATCCATTTAGCATCTTCTGCATAAATGGCTATCAAGTTTCTGCCTTCCCGAAAATTCCATTAAAGGCTTTATCTACAAACCAATCCAAATTATCTTTAAGATCTGCATGTTGAAGCATAATATACAAAGTACAAAATTCGAACGTTTCTATTGTTTTTGCATTAACTTTTTTATTGATTTTTTCTAAAGTGTCTACTATAGGTTTATTTTTATCAATTATGAAAAAACTATTAATTGCAGTATAGCTACGAAGTGTTCTGCACCAAATGGCATGTTGGGTTTGGCATAATTTAAGTCCTTTAGTGATTGTCTTAGCTAATGGTTTCATTTGGCAGATACTGGAGGATATTATGTATCTGAATTTTACTGGGTTTTTATGGAATTTAGGTATAGAATAAATGTAAGGTAGTGCATCTATTTTCAAATTGTCTTTAATATCATTACTCCTGTTAAATGTATATTGGTTATGTAAAATATCTAGTTTAGTTAAATCTGTAATGCATTTATAAGTGTCATTATGGGTATTGCACCAAAGTCCAACTTCAGTAAGAATATTTCTAATATAGTATTTTTTACAGATAAAGGCAATATTATTGCTGGCCTTATCGACAGGCGTTAGAACAAATCTATCTTGAAGAGAACCAAGACATTCAACTGTGGATGTATTATTTAGGACCTGGGTGGCGGTTGTCTTGGGTTAAGTTTTATATATTTGATTCTTTTTGACAAGAGATCAAAAACAGTGTTTTTCCATTCTCCAAAAGATTCTAATGGTGCACGAAATTTATCAGACCAAGCTACTATGCATTTCCTGATTTGAGATTTAAGATTATGTAACTTTTTGAAATTAGTTTTACTAGGTTGTTCTCGAAATTGTGGTCCAAAGCGAAAAAGGTTTTTTAAGATTTTTATCTTCAACAATATCGAACAACAATATGGTCATGAAACTTGTCTTTAAAGGGAGAGTTGGTGCATTGACATATAGTATTATCGTAATTGTTAATAAACTCTTGTACGTTAAGGTTTTCAATAGTTTGATGGTAGTTAAATATTTTATTACGAATTGGAGGTAAAAATTTGTATACGACTGTAGGTGAAATTTTAGGAATAGTATCTGGTATAGATTTTTATAATTACTGATTGGTCTCTAAAGATTCTATTCAATCCAATGTCTTGTATATGTTTATCTGTAAAAAGGATTTTACATAACACGTCAGGTTTTTTCTTTTGCACTTTATGAGGCTGTATTGAATGCTTAGGTGAAAATTTACTATTTATCAAATCGGTTATAACATGTAGATTTTTTCAAAGTGTGTATAATTTGTCGGGCTAGGTTGAGTACACAAGCTGCACACAAGGGAAAATGGTCTGTAATTTTATTATCCAAGTTTCTTCTGCGTGAGTTCTTTTTTGTGTAACTGCAGGATCAATTTTGCCATTACTGAGGTGTCCTGAACCAGGAAGTTTTTCAATTATTTGAACTCTGTATCCAAAATCCTTACATGGATTTTGTTTAAAAAGTTGATATAGTACACTATACGACTGGTAACATGGAATCTCGGGTAAATAGCGTTATTATCTAATCTATGTAGAATTATTCATAAATATCATTGAATTTGCCCTAATAGCATTCAATTTGTCCTTGTATACAACTTAAATCTCAACGTGCAATTTTGATTACCAAGCGTTAATTAACTAGTGTTTAGTTTGTCAACACGTGTGTAATTATAAGTGTCCCGCTTAATTTTCACGACTGTTCAATAATTAGTTGGACCGTTCAATTTCCCGAGTTGTGATTAAAATTAGTCAAGGTGTCCAATTACGCCAGGTATTCAATTCTGTTGCCGAACATCCAATTCCACATGCGTTGTTCAGATTTTAACGAAATGTTTATATTGAAGGAGTTGTAATATAGTAATGCTGCCGTGAAAACGTGTATATGTATAATGTACAGGCCGGTTTGAATAACAACAAAATGAGTTCGGTAATCTCGGGAAAACATTTACCGGCATTCTGTATCGGTTAGGATTTTTTTCTGACGCACTGTACATGCATATAACGTCAGCCAAAATGTATGCAACAATGAACAACTTACAATTTTTTTACAACGTATCATTACATCTTCGTCTATAACTTAGATGTAATCCATCAATTATTGGCTGCTATAAAATCCAAACTTTAAATTATATATGTCATACGATGAGCTTGCAGCTTCAGTTAATCTAAATCAATCATTCATAGAGCACTTGATCTACTCCACGGGGCGTTTAACGGTAAGTCACGTGATCAGAAACGCGCCAAAAGATTGGGACTATATTCTTAGTCTGTCTGTGTTAATCGGCGACAAATCTCCGCTATGACAATATACATCTACTTTAATTAAATGTCGCCAAATTCATTTCGGTGGAAGCGGATATTGAATAAAGCCATTTCACACACGTGTACATTACATGCGCATGTCATATATTTATACAATGTCCACGATGTGTTACATGTAATTGTCGCCTTTACTCCGTTATTTTGAGTAGCCTACACTTTCTGAATGATTCCATTCTTTTGTACGAATGCATGACCACTTGGACCAACTAATAGACCACTCGGACGAAACAAAAAAGACTACTCGGACCATACAAAAGGACCACTTGGACCAATAATAAAGTGTTGTTTTAATACGTTTATATTTGTGTTTGTATTAATATGACTACTTGAATCAATAATAAAGTGTTGTTTTAATTGTTGTTTTAATAATTGATAATAGTGTTTGTTTTAATATGCATATG